AATTACTACAAGCCTCGTTCTTTAATTTTTTTTGTTTCATCGTTTACCAGCCTTTTTCTAATTTTTCAACGATCTAGAATCCATCGTAAAACATAATGTTCGTAAAATGTACGTTTTGTTGCTTGCTGGTAAATTATATTGCTGGCAAACGTCAGACTGCCTCTCAATGATTTTATCTTGTAATGATTTTATCATGATTTTAAGTACCTATTCGACAGCCAATTCTGAGTACATGTATCAAAGTGATGAATACAACAAAGTATTTTTCAGTACTGAGTATTTTCGAGTTCTTTTGTGAGTACTGAGTACTATGGAACCAGTTAGCGACAAGTTTCGGACCGATATCGCACTTGTTGACGTAAAAATATTTCATATCATACGTCAACAAAACCGATACCGATTCGAAAAATGTCGCTAACTGGTTATAGAATCTGTCGCTAACTGTTTACAGAATCAGCCTACAAAAATGATATCGTCCGATTCAGCTGGAACAAAAATGCTTCAAACAAGAGTTTCTCTGTATTATAGCCTCGAACCGACATATATACATCTTTCATTTGAATCAGTATTAAAAGCGGTATTGGCTCCTACATTCGGGTTTTGATAGGCGAGTCTCCCCTGAACCGTTTTTCCATATTTTTGGGCTATGTGTGCTTTTATTCGAAACCTAAATGTTTCGGTACCGAGTATCGAGAGTACTGGATACTTAAAAGTATTGACTCAGTACATCACTACTGCTGTCATCTCGCCTGTGATGTCAGCAAAACAGCTGATTCTGTCAAATTCACTGAGAGCCGATTAGCGGTATTGCCATCGGCGCCACCTTCTATATTATCTCCACCGTGGAGCCAACTTCAAGCAATTTTAAACAATTATAAAAAGCCATCCTCCGAGAATAGTCTGATTCATGTATTTTTTATTCAATTTTTTTTTTGTTCCTTTTTACTCAATTTTGATCATATGCTAACAGATATAATATAGTGTTTGTATATATGTATAGTTATTAACTATGTTTGTATATGTTTTAAAACTTCTTCTATTACACTCTACTGCCGCAGGTTTGAGTTCAAGCCGTCGGCATTTGCAAGGTGGCCCCAGCATATCGGGCAGCCTGCATGGCATCAATAGCGGTTCTTTGATGATACCACCTGCACCGCTGCCACCCACCAGCGTACCACCACCGCCACATATTTGCATTGCGGGCGTCGATGGCATCAGCGGGGGCATACTAATTAACGACGACGATGGCCTAGACGATGAGGATGACCTCGATCTCGACAATGAACAACACGAAATATTTATCAACGACGTACGATTCGACGATGATGAGCACCATCTGGAGCAAATGCGTCATTTGGAAACTGTTTAACAATTGGTGAAAGGACTGGGAGAGATGAAGGACATCAAACAATTGTTAAAACAATATGCGGGATTTTATAGAAATTTACAAGCATAGGAACAGGCTTAAGTCAAATATAAAATTATATATACATAAAATAAAATGAATAAAATATTGATAAATAAATTCGCAGATACATATGTAAAAGAAATATTAGCTGTACGATTAGTTAAGTGAGATTTTTAAAAGAAGGAACAAGGAATAAGAATTCCTAAACTAAGATATGAAACGCTGCTAAAACATAAAGTGAGTAACTGAGGAGAAGGAACTTTAGGCAGATACATTTTGGATTTACAGATCTTTTTTTGTTTGACTTGAGAAAGCGTAAGAGGAGAAAAAATATGTTTCGCTTTAGGGTAGTTTCACTGTTCTTTCCTTGTTTACAATAAAGGTATTCATCAAATTGAGCAGATGACCTGGCACTCTGACAAGACAGCAGATTAGCTCAAGCAACGCGTCTTGTCAACAGTCGTTGCTTAAACTAATCTGCTATTTTGCCAGAGTGCCAGGTCACTTGCTCAATTTGGTGAATACCCCTAATGAAAATACATATATATAGAAAAAGGCGTGTCGATGAACTGTGTGGATACAATTGAAGATTATATTTACTTTGATACATACTTAAATTAATGTACGTATATAAATATATACATATGTACATATAACATATGGCACGTTTAATAATATACAGATGTAACTCAAAATTAAAGATTTCATCATACAATTAACAAACGTGATAAGGAGAATTTATACAGCCTAACAGATGACTAAACTTCCCAAAAATGGCGAAGATATTTGTATTTCGATCTGTATTTTGGTATACCAACTGTATGAATTGTTCAAACTTTGATTGCGTTTTCCCACAAAAATGAAATTTTGAAATGACTCTGTATATTATTAAAAGTGCGATATATGCGTAGTAAGTATGTAAATGCAAAAGCACAAATACGCGCTACTTGGAAGATCATTTAGAACATTTTATTGTAAAATAATTTTCATAAAATTAACATTGAGAGTTAACAATATCGAGAATGATAAGAAGCAAGGAAGCTTTTAGAAAAAGCTAATATTTCTAGATCAACGTTAAAGTCGTAAAACGTTAGCGAAAGGAAAATAAGAACGATAAATTTAAAATAAAAATAAAGGTAAAGAGCAAATGAAAATGGAAATGTTAAAATCTAGAAAAAAAACATTTTAAGAAATATAAAAATTCGCAGTGGTAAAAGATATTTATACAACGCATTAAAGAGTATAAAAAAGCGAAATAAAACGATGACACCCTTCCAAATTAAAAACAAAAAAAAAAAAAACGGAACAAAGTTGTTGATTTTTATATTTGATACGATTATAAAAGTATTTCACATTTGATATTCTTAAGGTCACACCTAAACAATATACCGCAGATGAATGTTTTAGCACAAACCTGCACATTTCTTCATTCGTTCAAAATCCAACATAAAGAAATTTACTCATAACATAATTCATTTATTACATTGGGTCTAAACACACTAGTCTTTTCAGACGGCCTGACCAGACCAATATGCGAAAATTACTAGTCTCTTGGACGATCTGAAATCTGGTTATTATTCTGTAAGCGCCTCAAAATCCCTTATTCTTAGCAATCGTGGAAGAGAAAAAAGTAAAGCAAGAAAAGAAGGTGATTTACTTTGTTTTCGTTTATGTGTGCTAACGATCATTTTTTCACTAAGCTTCTGTAATCGCTTGGAATATTCAGAAAAGGTTCGCTTTTTCATCGCGGACTAGAATTGTTCTCAAACACTTTTCAAATTCAATTCTCACTTCTCGCACAAGAAGAAAGTAACTCCGCGTGAAGACCTCCGACCAGGTCTGCCAACTTAGTTAAAACCGTGACATTTTTTTTTTTGTGCTCTATTTTACTTCAAATGGCACTTTTGAAAAATATTACTACATACATATGTATTGCAATACATTTTTGTGACATCCTTTGCGTGTACTTCTTTTTCTCAGCTATAATTTTTTAATTTCTAAAGTCCATAAAACTGGTTTATCTTATTTTGGCATTGACCTTTTGTTTTAGAAATGTGGTTCCTTTTTTATTGCTGAATGGGAGGTAAATAAATTATCATTTTCCGATTAAAAATAATGGCATGTTTTTGGTACTTTTATTTTCCTATTTAGTACATTTTTTCTAAGTTTTATCCTCAATATGCCGCCTCATAGCAGAGGATAGTTGGCAGCCCTGCCTCCGTCGTGAGGTCAAATCGTAGTGTAGGTGGTTACGAAAATTTTAAGAGAAAATTGTGAATAAATTATTGAATAAAAATAAAAAAATAATAACATAAAATAAAATGTAATCAGCAAAGGAAAAAACGAAAAATGAAAAACCAAATATTGAATACTGAAAATGTTTCGTAACGAGGTCAGCTGCTCTGCAGACAGGACAATTACTACTTCGTAGGCCATCGCCATGTTAAAAAATACAGTTGAAAGCATTGTTTTGGTTTGGGATAGATGAAGAACCAGTAGTGTCTCTTTTCAAGCTAGCTCGTCGCGAGTTCTGAACGAATTTTATTTGCTGCTGGGAAATTACATATTTCTAAGTGTGTGAAATTGCTGAAGTAAACTATTACTCCCCACCCCCTCTCGCCCATGGAAAACCGGATACAGACCGTCTGAAAAATCGAGCGTCTGCAGGCTTATTGGAATACATATGTATGACCAAGCATTTTTCAACTTACTCATTCAAAATTAAGTCACTCGCTCGTTTGGC